CCTCAAAACTCCTGCAAACCCCAACACCAGTCAAGTCAGCTTCCAGTGATATTAGCAATATCAATAAAAGCTTGCTGGAGTTGAATTTTAAAACATGCAAACAACCTTGGTGTTTTGCTTTTACATAATTTGTTGGACAGTTTTCTAATTTTTGTATTTACTTTCACTGGTTGTTCTTAACTTTTTCTTTTAATGAGCAGAAGGGGGTAGATTGAAGGGTATGAAAAATGGCTTTGCTCTATTGCAGTTCTTGTTGCTTTTTATCTGTTCTTCGGCTTTTTTGTTTTTTAACTTCTACATTGTAGGTTTCTTCATATTACGAGATCTTGGTGGCTCTTCCTCTAGAACCTTGTCCAGTTAGAGGGTCTACTGTCCTTCCATATTATCGAAAAATAACAAGTGGTAGCTTTTTTCCAAATGCAGAAGTGAGATTGGAAAATTCACTATCAATGTGGTGGTTTGGTTTTGGGTTTTTTTTTTTTATTTGTTTTTTTTTGTTTTTGTTTCAACTTCTCCATTCTTAAAGTCAGAATATTGCTACTAGCTTCCTCCTTACAGTTGCTCAAATACCAAATTTGTTCTTCCTAATCTGTAATTCCTCATAGTACTCATGGAGTGTTCTTCTGGATCAATGAATCCAGAAAAAAAATTTCTCCAACTATTTTCTGAACTCTGTCACTTATTTTAGTAGTGATACATCATGACTAATAGAGGTGGCTAATGGTTTCTTGTATGTGCCTTTTCAACAGAAGGCATGCAAGGGTTTGGATTGATGTATAACCATCAAAGACAGATCCTTGCATGGTATGAGCTCTTTACACCTATTTATTGACCTGCTGTTTTGTTAGTGAACAGATGACTTTGAAGTCAATTAGAAGTTTGTAACTGACTTCAGCAGGGTGCACACTGCACTTTCTGTCTTAATATATAAAATGAACTATATACTTGATGTCCAACACACTGACATACAAATCTAACTGTGTATTTCTAGCACAGTTTCATTTCTCCAAATTTTGTGAAGACAAATGTTTACCTCAAGTTTTTTACAATTATCACTAAATGTCTCTACTAAAATCTAATTATGTACAAAGTGCTTCCCCCCCACCCAGCTATTGATGATTAGGAAACAATGAATAGCATTTTTATTTAGGATTAAGGCCTTGGAGTGAGTGATTAAGTTGAATGCTTCTGAATGATGTTCTAGAATTCTTAATGGTCATGAAGGGAAAAGGAATTGGGGTAGAGCTAGAGTTTTTCCCCATTGTTTTAATTTAAATGCAAATGGTCAGATATCATAATACCGTATTAGTCTGTTTGTTCATTCTCAGAATGTTTAGACGTTTTTTAGGTTTTTAGATGTAAAGCTTACATACTATTGCAGAACAGCTACATTTGTATTAAAATCTCACACTGTTATAGCTCTGGATTAAGTAAAACTATTTTGTTCTTGTTCATTGCACGATGTTTCATTTTGCTGTATTTGGTCTGTGTTTTGTAGACTGCCATGGTAACACTGAGACCATCTCAGAGGTCTGTTGGATTAACTCTTAAGTTGTGTTGTGAACCTGGCTGCCTCAGGGATGTTAGGAGAATAAGGGCTATTTCCCTACTGAGAGACGAAGAATGGCCTTATTTCCTCTTCTGCAAGGGTTATCATTCTAGCCAGCAGGCAACTTATTAAAACAGACCTATATGGCACTCAGTACAAAGAATGAAATTGTGGTTGCTATTAATAAGGTTTTTCTTGCTATTTCCATCTTGAAAGAATCCATCCTGTCTACACTGAATTACAGAATGTTGTAGTTCTTGCTGTCAATAACTTCCTTGAAATTACTTTTTTGGTTAAAAGTTTAGGCTTTATTTTTATTTTATTATTACAATTACTCTGCCATTCACTCTGTATCGTTGATGGAGTTTGAGTTCATGTTACCAGATTTCCTGTAAAAATTAGTGATTTTAAAAACAGTCTTAACAAAGCCAGTGCCTTTCAAAAAGCAGAAAAAACCGCCACAAAGTTCAGTGGGTGCTGCCACTAAGCAAGTATTTTTAGCAGTTTCTTTTCAATCTTTCATGAGCTTCTGAAGGCAAAGATCTCAAACAAGCATATATGATTTTGTGTAGTGGTTACATGGGTTTAGTTAGTCTTGAGTTCACTAATGTAGGAGAGAACTAGTTTGAATTACTGCCCTTCTTGAGGAGATGTGGCAAGAGAGCTAGGGCAAAAATTGGTTATGTATCCATACTGCTACTACATGTCACTTTTCATCCTTTCATAAGTTCTTCTCATTTCAAGATCAGGTTCTCATAAAGTCCTCTCAGCAGAGTTGTGCACAAAGATGGTTCTGAAGCCAGTACAGAAGAGGTGCTCTGGTGCAGTTTTCTTTTGGGAGTCCCTCTGTATGTGCATCTATATTACCTTTGCTGTCAGTCATGATGCACTGCGGGGAGAATTCAAGAAGCTGGTTTGTGTGTTTCTTTGGGCCAGTTGAACTGTATGACTCATGGTGAATGGACATTGATAAGTGAATTGACAGGCTTTTACCTTTAAGGAATTACACGTGAATGCTGCTCTACATGCCATGTGTCCAGGAGCATCGGTATAATAAGTGGATCAGCTTTCTGTGGCTCTTACTTTTAATGAACTAAAAGGGAAAACAGCATGATTGGTGCGAAAAGGAAGGTATGTAGTACTAAATTTCAGGAAATAAAGTTAGCTGCTTGCAAATTTTTCCTTCATTCCAGTAGAAAAATAAGATATATACTGAATACACTTGCAGAACTCTTTTAGTGTGGGTTTAAAAAAAAAAACAAACCAAACCTGTGGATCACAAGCTGCACGTCTGTATAGCTTTAAGTAGCTTGAGAAATTTAGAAATAATAAATGAGGGACAGAGGAAACTGCATCTAAATGTCTTGTTGAGTTTTTGATACATTATCTCATAAGCTTCTTCGCTGTTTTGTCACAGATCCAAAAAGTATTGTGTACACTGTAAGGCAGAAAGATAATGTATGGTAATAACATTAGTTGATAAGTGATAAAAGTTATCAGAAGCTAATTTCTAGAAAGACTTGTCAATGAATAATAGTGGATCTGGTGATGTTATTGATTAGTGCTAATAGAAAACAGATGTTTTCTGACTGTTCCTTTCTGTCTGGCAAGTGTTTTTTTTTCTGTTCTGAACGTGGCTGACCTGTTTTCTTGTGTCTTGCTTAGGTTACGGTATTAATGGTTCTTTCATGGTCTGTGTAGCAGCATTTCTGTCACTCAGCTGCAGCACAGGACAGCCAGCTGCACCATGTGCTTGGCGCTACCCTGTTTCCATAGAAAGCCAAAGCAGCCCTGTGCAGGCTCTGTTCTCCTGTTGATGGGTGTATCTGAGCAGATGCTCCTGCTTTTCCAGGAGCTCAGTTTTTCAGTTCATTACAGTAACCAGAAACCCTGGACAAACAGCACAAAGGCTTTTGTGAGGAGATGCCAAATGAGAAAGGAAAGGGTATTTTCTCTAAAATTCATATGTAAAGAAAAAATATATTAATTGAAACAGTAGATTAAGTAACTGAAATAATCCATTAAGGAGTGGGTAGCCTTTTTGAAAACAACTTAAAAAAAAAAAAACAACCAAAAAAAAAAAACCAACCCTAACCATCCTTTTAATTTCGAAATCACTGCTTTATTTTCAAAGTTTGCTTCCTAAATAATTTGTTTGATTAACTCTGAAGTTGCTGACATACACACGTGCACACCCCAGATGTTCTCCCCATGTCTTGCTGAGGCTAGTGTCATTGTGATTTCCTTCCACCCTTGAGTTGTCCTTTTTGGTATGTGTGACTTAGTCAAACCAGAGCTTTTGGCCAGCACCCCTAGCTTCTAGTTAAATCCTGTCAGTGTGAGCCGAACCCGATATTATCAGGTCACACTCATCTATTACACATAAGTTAATTACATTAATTCATTTCTATCCTGCCATCTTGTTCTCATGAGTAGTCCTGTTACTGGAGCACTGAATTCTGGAAATGATGTATTTCCATTTTATGGTGAAGTTATTTTAGCTTTTTCCCATTTTTGACTGTGAGATGTATGCCTTTAGGGTTAAAAATGCAGTCTGACTTAGCAAAACCAGACTTCAATGTATTTTGTTTATCAGACTTCTAAGATTATAGCAGAGATGTGGTGGACCTAAAACAGACAGACATAAAAAACTTTGTTCTTTTTTCTGTGTATAGTTGCTTGATTTGACAAATTACTTCAGTGACTGGGAAACATGGAAAAAACCCAATGAAAATATTTCTTGCTGTTCATTACATTTCCATCAAATAAGCTGATATGGAAATAATTTTCTACCTCTGGTTGCTAGTCAGTCTAGTAAATAATTTATTTTTTTAAACAATCACAGAAAACAGCAGTAGAAGAATATTTTCTATTCCTTAGTGTTCTTTTTGCCTTATCCTTTTTTTCATTATAGTGGACAAATAATAAATTGAGTAAACACAATTTGTGTTTACCTAGCTGTCAACATACTTATGTTCTCGGTTTGGTGTAATTATGGGTGTATTTTTGCTCACTGAGGTAGTTTCTATCAACATTTTTGTTTGCTTCTGTCCTGTAGAAAATAAGTTAGCTGTTACCATAATAGACATCCTAAGTATGGGATTACAAGACCAGCTGTTCTGTCAGATGTATGTCTCAACAGGTTCTGTCCATTGTACTGCTGCTAAGCTTTCTTCATCATAAAATGGAGAAGTAAATTAATTGTCTGTTAAAATTGTTAGATAATATTGGTGTGAAATAAACCATAGTACTAATTACATTATTTTCTCTTCTTTCTCCAGGAAGATATTGACTGCCTAGAAATTACGAAAGGGTTGTGAGAAGTCTGGTTGATCAAGGTGGAATTTTTTTTTTCCCCAAGAGCCTTTTCACAATTGCCTTTTCCAAAATCTTTGGACGTTCCCCATTGTGCCATGTTTTGTGGCTCCCACTGTAAAAGGAATTTGTCTTGATGAAGATTCCTAACATTGGTAATGTGATGAATAAATTTGAGATCCTTGGGGTTGTAGGTGAAGGTAAGTAGTATCTTAATAAAATATGAATTAGGATTTTGTATAGATTTGACTTAATTGTCTTGATGGTAGTCAGTTTTCATGTGCGAAATACTGCTGTATTCAGATTTTAAGAAACATCAGTTAATTCCCTATAGTTTCTTCTGTAATTCCATTCTTAGATGGTAGGAGAAGTTTGGAAGATAAAAGAAAAGGAAGAGAAATGGGATTGTGTTGTGGTTTGGGGTTTTTTTTGTTAGTTTGTTTAATTTTGCTATATTAATTTATTTTTAATGATACTATGGATGTGCAAGTTATCAAACTGCTCTGCAAGTATATTTAAAGGAATTATTTTCAGCATTTTAAAATTCACTTTCAAGCAATTTTTATAAAATTTGCTTCAGTGTGTATAAATTTAGTACAGTATCTGTTTGTGCAAGTTCTGGATAATAATAATACTGCGAACAATATTATGCTCATGGCAGGGGGGTTGGAACTAGATGATCTTAAGGTCCTTTCCAACCCTTACTATTCTATGATTCTATAACCAAAAGGTGACTGAACTCTGTTTTATCTTGCCACTTTTTTATTTTCTGCTTTGAGATGGTTTATCTCTTTTTTTTTTTTTTTTTTTTTTTGTTTCAGGAGCCTATGGCGTTGTACTTAAATGCAGACACAAGGTAAGTAAATTGCTTTAAGTTAGAGATAAATGCTGGTATTTGGTTACAATGACTTGTGATGAGAACTGAGATATTATTATGTATGAGATTTCTTAAAAAAAAAAAAGTTGTTTTGGAATGCACTTTATGCTCAAGCAGTCTCAATTAGAATGTCAAATTAATTGCTAAATACTTCTGTATAACCACTTACCTGTCTTAGGGCAGGGTAACAGAATGGGATCCATGTGGAATTTCTACAGCTGTTGGACAATCAAAGTGCATTGCAAAAGCACTGAGTTCTATGCTTATTGATTTTAATTTGGAAGAAGTAGTAAAAAGAAAAAACTGTTTCAGACAAAAATGAAGTCTGGCAACTTGTCTACTATTTTAACTACTGTGTAATAGTATAACTAAGTTCAGGATAAATCTGAACTTGCTGGTCATCAGTAAGAAACTGACATGAGCTACTTTGCTGTCTTTGGAGCAGCAATATAGTCATATAACAAAATAACTTTACTTCTGTGAAGCAGAACTTTTGAGAATCATAGAATTATTCATTTGTAGTGATCCAGGAACGTATAAAAGTTGGGGTTTTTTTATGTAGCTCATACCTTTTACTAGAAAAAAGGTTATCACACTGCAGCAGGCCTGCCTTCCTGCAGTGGCTTTTAGCATGTACACAGAAGGACTTTCACAGCGGACATATGTATTTGGAGCGGTTTACAGTATTATATTGACTTAAAGTTTAAAAGGGGGGGTGGAAATTAGAGCTTTGAAAGATCCTATCTCATGTTGAAGCCTTGTCAGGCTTCAGGGAGGCTGTAACACTCAATAGAATGGCTTTGGTAAATGACATATTTTTGGATAGTTACAGAGTAATGATTCAGGGTGAATAGTTTGAAAGCACCTTGGTAGTATCAATACAGTTTATATTAGGCAGCTCTCTTCTTTATGGAAGGTAATCTCATGAAGACTTCAGAAATTTCTAGGATTTCCTACGTTGCTGAGTGGAATTTCATGTCTGCATGTCTTCAGTCATGTCCTCATCTGAAAGAGTTCAGTACTCTAGGAGTATAGTATAATGCCAGGGTAATCTGTTGTCAGTTCCTGTAAGAATACCTTTCAATATACCAGATGACTCAAAAGGAAAGGCTTTCCTTTAGCAGAGGGAGGTGCTTCTTCCTCACCTCACATACAACCTATGTGAGGATCTAAACTTTTAGGTAGTCACACCATTTTTTTTCCACAGCTTCAAAATTAATCAAACCAACTGTATTGAAGTTCTAAAACAAAGTAGTATTTATTAAAGCTGCTAGCAAGTGGATTTACTAAGACCTAGGGTTTCCAGTGTTTGGAGATCTGAAGAAAGGGCAAGGTATGATGCTTTTAAACTCACTGATTTATGATTCTCACTCACTTAAAACAAGCTGCACCCAGCGTCTAGGAGCAGATGACTTTAGGGGCTATCTAGTTTATAAAAAAAAAATAACTATCTAAAAGTTAAACTTTGACATGAGTCTTTTTTCCCCATCCTTCCACTTCTGTTTGTCATCTTAAGTTTTTCCTTTCATGCTTTGGAAAATATGTTGAGAGGGACCTATCCCCAGTTCGTTTGCAAGTTGCTGCATAGATTCAGAGCAGGTATGTCCTGCTTGTAGGTTTATTGTGACAAACCTACGTATACAAGGTTTGTTAAGAAAACATTTGGTAATTGCCACAAGAATTTAGTTTATGTTTAATTGTAGGCATCATAATAAATAGAATTATTTCCTAGTTCCTACATTTTTGATGCAGTTTCTTAATTTTTACTTGACTTATTCCTTTTAAATAAGAAGGAAAAGTATCTATAAAGTTGGAGGAGCAGTATGAATTGGAGCTTGAAGATGTGGAGAAGTGCTGCCTGTTTGCTACAGATTTTCACTTAATTAAGACAGAAAACGTCTAAATTATAGACAGAAATTTTAAGGCTCTGATATTAATCATTGACTAAAATGAATGTGGTAGAACCGAAGTTGTAAAGAAACGCCCTTCTAAAAGAAGAAAAGGGGAGAATTCCTGTGAGATCAAAGATGTTATAAACTAAAGGGATGGAATTTAGGTGAAGCTTAAAAACAGTCACTAATTGGTACAAAATGGGAATTTCTACCAAACCATAATAAAAAAGATTGTTCATTAAGAAAAGTTACTTGTATACATAGGAGGAAAAAAACATATTGCAGGACAGTATATGTGGTTGTTCTCCTTGATCAAGAAATGTTTTTTAATATAACTTTCCTACTTTTATAGGAAAACAGAGATTTAATTAACTTTCATGAAGTCTTAACAGAATTACCCTGAAATGCAAGGGTATATGACTTAGTTTGGCTTTGGTTGTTGTGTTTTGGTTTGGTTTTTTTTTCTTACTGTTTGGCTGCTGATGGCCATATTTTTTTAGTATGGATGAAGAAAGTAAGAAGTTCTTCCACATGATATGTCTGCAGGTAGCACAGTTGAACATTGAGTACATTACATAGTAAGTCTATTCAGCACCACATAAGAAGTCCGGAAGCAGCATAAAATACAAGAGAATGATGCAGTATTTTTAATGTATGTATGGTATATACCACACCGTCCTTGGTCATGTTCCCTCAGCATGTGCTAATTTTCATTTTGTGCCAAGCTAGCTATTATGTTTAAGAATTTAAATACAGAAGTATTTATACTGATATTTATAAACAGTGGGAACATGCCAGGATCAAATTCTCGGCTCTTGTAAGTCAATGTATCTCCATTGTACTGGTGAGAAGGTGTAAATTTTGTGTAAAATGTGGAGCTTGCCCCTAATTGCAACAATTGCAATGTATAATCCCTAGTGTTTCAATAAATATGTATCTTTATGCCCCAGTGAGTTTCACTGGCGTGTGTATATGGATTTAAATTGGAGAGAATGGCATAAGGAACAAAGACCTTGTCATTATTATGTGTTTTTATTTTGCTAAGGGAACATTATCAGAAAAGCTGAAGTAGCTCCTCTAAATGACTGTGTTTACATTACATTATACAGCATGTTTTTATGTTTTTATTGCAAATCCTTTATTGCTAATTGTGGTTCAAGCATAAAGATTACTTTATCCGGCTTATCTGGTTGTCTTTGGGGGGGTTTGTGAGATTTATTTTTTTTTTTAGCTTTGGAATTATTTTTTTTCCTGATGTGGATTTAATACGAATAATGTTGATAAAGCAGATTTGATGTTCTTAAAAGCTTTTTTTTTTTTTTTTTCCTCTCCTTCTTTTAATGAGAGGACTTTTCATCAGGAAATATACTGGTGTGCATTGTGTTTGATAATACCAGAAATACATTTTATATTCCCAATCTATTAAAATAGGTTGTCTTGGTTTATTTACTGGATCTTGTCTGTTTACTGAAAAGAAAAGCCACTTGAACAGTTCAGCAGTGTCAGACATCATGGCTGAGAAAAAGAATTTTTGCTTATGTTTAAGAGTTATCAAATATTTGCCTTTAAGTAAAACCACTATCCCCTTTACTTTGCAACCTGGGCTTGCAGCTTCATGCAGTTATCCTTTGCTAGTAGAGGCTTAGGCACAAGTATTAGGACTCTGGCACTGGATACAAAGCTCATAGGACAACACTGTGACTGAAAATCAATAAAAATATAGGCAGGTGCTGTAGGAAAGCCATAGGTGTCCAAAGACAGGCACACTGAAGAAAGAAGCCTAGAGGCAAAACTTAAGCTCAAAGTTCCTGTGAATGTTTCAATATACTTTGGCACAATATATAGGCAGAACATTTGGTATACTTTGACAGCGTGTATTTCATTATTCAAGCTATTACAGGGTTTTCTTACAAGAAAAAAATCTATTAATCATTTCTAGTGTCAAACAAAACGGATGTTCATGTGTGGACTTCTTGCTGTGCTTTTAGATCAAAGGCAAGGCCTTACATTACAAGGTGATGTAATTGTGGTTGCTGAGTGGGAGCTGCCTGCTGACTCCTCTGTTACAAGAGCTGGCAGAGTTTGTCCTGCAGTCACTAACTCCTCAATGTACAATGGTATTTCTGATCAGGGTGACTACACATTGTCACTGCATCTTAGTTGGTCAGCTACCTTCGCATTCCTATCAGTTCATTGGTCAGTTGTGTCAAGAAATTGCCTTCTGCACCTTCCAAAATATCCTGTTTCCACCATGCTGCATTGCCCTTGCAGCCGATGTTGGAGCACTCCAAGTCCTCTGTAAGAACTGGACTTTATCTATTATTTTTATGATCTATTTATCTATTTTGCTGTCTTGATCAGGTGCTTTGAAGCAGGTGCTCACTCTAATGCCACCTGGGTTGTTCTGTCTTCTAACCTTTGTGCGAAACCTAGATGTGTTTCTTACTTATTTCTAAGCAAACGTCCATGCCTTCAAGCTTCCTTTCCTTTTGCAAGAATCTCCTTGCCTTCTTAGCTCATCCTTCTCAACATATCCTGAATCTGTTCATGGAAGTGCTCTAGTCATGCAGGCACATTTTCTGTGATCCTACTGAGGGATTTCATCATCTAGGATGACAGATAGTTCAGATAATGCATATTTCTATAACCGTGCGCTGACACCTAGTTCCTCCTGTTTGTTTCTCATTACACTTGCATTTTGTGTACAGGCATCTGGGACCTGGTTGTGTTGCTTTCAAAGAGAGAATGGGAGCTTCATACTCAGAAAATTTGTGATCTGCCTGATGTTTTAAAAACGTAGATCCATATTTGCCTGGGAAAGGGAGAAGTGATTCTAACAACTCATATATCTGCTGATGTTATTAACATTGTCTTACTTTTCTCACTGGGTCCCTGGAGACCCTTCTTTTAGTGTTGTTGTTTAACCCTTAAATGTTTAACCCTTCTTATGCTAATGACTTTCTCTTAAGTGTCAAAATTAGAAGGTAAGTGTACTTGTTTGTAAAAGTAGCGTTTACCTTCAGTATGTTGTGCTTTCAGATGTTCTTGCTTTAGATCTGACTTTCAAGGTTCCTTAACTCTCCAGCC